AAGTAAATGAAAAAATATATAAAAGAAGAGATTTTTATTACTAGAAATTTTCATGTTCTGATATAATAAAAATAATAAAGTTCTTACTTGTAATAATATTTATAAATACTCTATTATTTTTTTTAATTATTTTCAAATTTAGGTGAATACTTCTTTACTTTAAATAAGTTATTAACTTTAGTATTCTTATTTATTTTAATTTTATTATTTTTAAATATTATTAATAATTTTATTTTTAGTTATTTTATTTTATTATCTTTATTAATATTTTCAATAAGTTCTATTATTTCTTTAATAATTATTCTGCTTTTTTATTTTTTTATTCGATTTCATTCTTTATTCTTATTTTTATCTATAATATTAAATTAATTTATATACAAGTTATTATAAAAGATCTTTAAAACTTTTAATAAATTTTATTAATTATAAATTATTTATTTTTTTATTATTATATTACTTTATTAATTTATTAATTCTAATAATTCTTATATTAATGAGAATAATATTTGAATTTTGATTAGTATTAATAAATAACTTCAAATTTGTAATACTAATCAATTAATTAATAATGTAATATAAAACTAATTAAATTAATAATTCAAATTTTTTAGGATTCTATTCCAAATCTTATAATAATTAATTTGATTATTTATTTTTTACAATAATATCAAAAGAAATATAATAATATTACTAATAATATTTTTAGATCTGAAAAAATTTTAAAATTGCAAAGTTAATTAATTTTTATATGTAATATTATAAAAAATCAATTGAAAAACTTAGATTAAATCTAAAAATTTGTAAATATTATTAGTAAAATATTTGTATTTTTATTTAAAAATAAATATAAAGAGAAATACTTTAAATATTATGATTTATTTTTTGTTATTATACTTAAATTTTAAAAGATATTATTAGAATAAATATATATATTATTTAGTAATAAATCAAAATATTATATAAAAAAATTAAATATCTGCTTAAATAATTTATTAAATATTATTATTATAGCAGTATATTAATATCTAAACCAATTTTCTTGCAAATTTTCTAATTTGTGAGCAATAAATCAAATTATAAATTAATATATAATATATAAATTTGTTAATCTAATCAACTATTTTTTAAAATACAAATATATTTATAAACTTGTATTAAATATTTTTACTTAATAATTAAAGTTAGTTATTATTGCAAAGTTTGAGTTATCTTTAATTTGAAATTTGAGTATTACATATAATATTGAACATTTTCAAATTAGAAAATTTAAAAAAAATGGTTCAGAAATTAGTTTATAAAAATAACTATTAGTTTAACTTTTCATTTAATTTATATAATTTTTATTATGCTACAGTTTCTGGTAAAAATAGTAGCTGTAAATTTTTGTTAAAGAAAATTTTCAACAAATAACTTGAATAAATTGAATTTGTAATTTTTTTTAGATATAATACTCTTAAAACATTAAGATATAATAATTTTTTTATGCCAATTCAGATTTGAACGTGGATAAAATACTAAAAAGTAGTAACATATTTCAAAATATTTAATTTCTTAATTAATTTAAATGCTCAAAATTAGCTGAACATTTTTTTAATAAATAACAAATTTTGTAATTATTAAATTGATAAATTATAAAATTATATGATTATTATAAAGTTTTATATTTTTTTATTTAAGATTTTTTTAAAAACTAAATTATACAAAATTTTTTGAGATTATAGATTTGATTATGCATTCCTCTGTGTGCTATAATGACACTTGAAGCTAATCTGTTGGAAAAATTTTATAATACAAGCTCTGATAAATATTGTTCTTTTAACTAAATTTTACAAATTTGTAAATTCACCACCAAAAGAATGAATTTAAACATTACAACTGCTTCCTTTATTATTTATCACTAACGGTTGGATAATATTAAATATAAGATTCTAAAATAGTTGAGATTATTTTGGAAATTATGTGATTTTCAGATATTATATGTGTATAGTAAATTTGTACCAGAACTATTGCTGATAGTCTATGTTGAATATCATTGTCAGCAGCAAAAAAATTTTAATAAAACTTTATGAATATACTCAATTTGTAAATGCTTTCTGTAAATATTATCCTTATTTATTGCACATGCATATAATTTTTTTTGTAATAAATAAATGCGACATTTTGTTGAATCAATTAAGTATGGTTTCCAGCAATTTTTTTATATCATATCAGAACACACTGCAACATGTATTGAAATATACACTATTTAAGATCTTTTTACTTCAAACATATATCTTCCAAGCTTTTTTATTTCTTAAGAACAAGGCTTAATAAGGCTCAATATGACAAGTTAAGAAGTTAAATTTGGCAATATATCCCTATCAATTATTCATCATTTTCTAATATAATTAAAAAAATCAAAGATTCATTTGATCATCTTTTTCTCAATATATCTTTCATTGAAATAGATCTGTAATTTTTTACTGATAGTTAAGAAATTGTCTTTTATCAGGTGATTTCAATTTATTATGAGTCTTACTCTCTATCTAATATATAAAATATTATATGTATTTATTAATATTATTTAATTTAATATTTGTTCTGACCCTCATCCATTAAAAATTAAATGATAAAAGATACTTTTCTCATTAAAATTACTTTTCAAATATACAAAAATATGGTAAATATAAAATATTTGCATATTCAAAATTTATAACTACAGAAATCACAAAATAAAAATTCATTCAAAGTTTGTATTAAAAATTCTTAATCAATTAGAATATTTAGTTTAAGTGATTTAATTGTAGAACAATAATATAATTTCATTAAATTAGACAGATTGCTTTCACTAACACTGAAAAAATTATTTGCTTAGAGATTGCAAGAATTAGAGAAGTAACTTATTAATGCTATAATTATTATCACAGATTATTGTAAAATTAACCAATAATAATGTTGCAAATTATTACATATCAGATAGTATAGTATTATTAAAGTAGCATTAAATTCTTCAATTTTATAATTTTAATTCTTAATTAAATATGTAGATATTACTTTTTTTATTTATTTTATCGAACTATAACTATTCTATTATTCTTTTAATATAACATATATAATGATTATTAAGAGAGTAACAATCACAATAATTATTAAACAATTGGGAGTGTTAAATGATAGTTAATATAAATATACATAATGGTAACAATTATTGAGAGAATAATTCTGACAATCATTTGGACAATAAAAGAGCATTGATGAAATGTATGTAATAATAGTACTATAAAAAAGAAAATAACAATCATCTGGACAATTGAAAGACAATCAAATAATTAGTCATGTTAAAAAAAATTATTAATGTAAATTATTAATCTTAGAATAGTATAGAATTAGCATAGTAATTCAAAATTATATATAAAAGTATCTTCAAGTTGCTGAGAAGACATGCTTTGATCATGCTTTAAAATAATCAAGTTCTTACTCGTAATAATATTATTATTTGTAAATACACTATTATTTTCTTTCATTTTATGATCAAACTTCAAATTTTGTGAGTAATTGCAAGTATTAGATGCTTTTTCACTCTAAATAAGCTGTTGAATTCTTTTAAATTATCATTTTGATTTTATTTTTCTTGAACAGGCTGTACCAATAAGTCCTATTAAGTTGATTTTGTTTTCTTGTACAGGCTGTATCAATAAGTTCTATCAAATCATCCTTTTGTATTGAGTTTCTTTTTGAACAGGCCATATCAATAAGCCCTTCCATATTCTCATTAATTGGTATTAAAATAAAATAAAAACTTTATTATCTCTTAAACCATCCAGCAGACAAATTTGCCTGCTAAAATTTTTAACTTATAGACAACAATAATATTAAAAAAGTGAAAAGAACTATTATATAATATATAATTAAAGCTAAGATTAAACAAACTTTTTATAACATATTTTAATTTTTGGTAAAAATATATTAGATATAATTTTAGCAGGAAAATTTGCCTGCTAAACTTGACGGTTAAAGGGATAACAAAATGACTCTTATTACAAGAGTAATTCTATCCTATCTATTCTTCAAATACCCCCTCGTCATTTTGAAAAGGCCGATTTGCGAACAAATCGCCACGGGAAACCTCTAGAACAACCAGAGAGACCCTCGAACCATAAATAATTCAGTTTAACTCCACCCCGTTGCAGAAAGTTTCTTGAATCGATTGGTTATTGCAATAACTGCAATAATCTGGTGCCTCAATCATCGCAGAATAAGCCCTTTCGATAAATATTAGAAGGAATGCAACAATAATCAAGAAATTTGATCAGAACGACAAAATAAAGAAATAAAAAATGTAAAACTATGAAAAGCAGATATCACTTGCAAATTAGAAAATTGGTTTGGAATTTTTAAATAATCTGCCTATTATTTTTTCAAGTGGAAAGCAAAATTCGAAAATTTTATCATAATATTATATGGAAATTATTAAAGAATGTAACGATAATTAACAATCTTTTTATCGTTCTACAAGAAAATAAAAATTCATATTATTAAAGTAAGTGGTGTATATTTTGTATGTCTGTAATAAATATTTATAAGAAATCGGTGAATGAAATTTGACAAAAGGCATAAACTTTTTTTTCTTAATTTGGGCGGCATTGGGTTACCTTTCAATAATCTGAGGTAACTGTGCAGGCAACACAATTTGATGTCGGTTTTCAATAATCTGAGATAACTGGTTGGACTCTTGTGCCAGTCTTCGTTTATATCTGATAAAAACTATCGCTATTAATGTGCGATAAATATTAACGCTTCTATTATTGTACCTCCAATAATAGCACCAATCTTTTCATTATCGTTATTATCTTTAACGTTAACGTTAACAGGTGATACTGATACACTTGACTGTGGTTGATCAATACTTTGAACGATTCCATATTATTGGTATCAAAAATAGTTATTGATGTCATTGACCGAACATTAGTCGTAGCATCAAGGAAGTTACCTACATAATATTAATAAAAATTAACATATCTTTAAGCAGGACGACGCATTTTCTTTCTATAGGTTATTGCTGTATGCCAGTAGGGGATTGGTTGGTTTGAAATAGCTGGCAATGACCAAGTGAAGTCTTCAAAATTTTGAGTGCTTAATAACGCAACAGCGTTATTATTTTTCATTGGAAGTGTTGATTGAGATGGATCGGGATATCCGCCACATATATTATTACCAAAATGAGTAAAAATACTCTAATTTGGAAAAATATAAATTAAACAGTAAAATGAACAGCAAAGTGAATAG